ACCAGTCCCAACTAGATGAGCCAGGTACCTCATTTGGAAATGCAGAAATCACCAACCTTCTGTGTTGATCTAGCTGGGAGCTGCAGACTGGAACTGTTCCTATTTAGTCATCTTGCCAGCCTAGATTCTGCTTCACTTTTATATATTTTTTAAAAATATTTTTTCTTTCCTTCAGTTTTAGGGCATGAGGATTTCTTATAATTTTTATTGTGTTATCTACTTTTATCTAGTCTTTGATTTTCTATAGACTAAGAAACTTGAAAGTCAAATTTGTAACATGAGAGCAAATAGATTCATATGAAGGCCTGACAGGTTCTTTCTTGACAAAGTATATATGCATGGACTTTATGACATCTATTTTGTTGTTCAGAGGTCTTTTAAAAAATATATTTCTATGAGATGCTCAACAGTATTCAGTTTAATTCAGTTAAAACATTTATTAGTTATTACTATATACCCTGTGCTATGTGATTTGTTTTATGTTCTGAAATGAGATTATTGCCTGCTTTAGAATTTGTTATGTTCTAGCAGTAGAGGCAAGGACATAAACTAGTGGTTTCTATACAACATGGAAGTTACTTTTATAGAGATATGCTATGGGAGCACACAAAAAGAGCACCTAAGCCAGCCTTGAGGGGAGTAGGGAAGAGAACCTGAAGAGAGATCAGGAAGATTCTTTGGCAAGGAGATGCCTGAGATGGGACTTTACGTATGATCAGATGATGCCAAGCAAAGGGAGGAAGAGATGAAAGTGAAGGGAACATATTTTTAGAAATCAGAAACTCAAGTTAAGGCAGAGTAAAATAACAATTAAAATCATTGGCTTTGAAGTAAGATACTTATGCGACCTTGAAAATTTTAATTAACTATTTTAAAGTTTAGTTTTCTTATCAACAGTTCTTATCTCACTGTGATGTTCATGAGAATTAAGTGAAATAATGGATACAGCATGCAATGTCCTCCATTTGATGAAGATACATAGTGGGTTTCTTAATACATATGTTACTATTACTATTGTCATCATTCCATGTTGTTTAAAGTATTCAAGTATTCTTTACTTTTTTCTAGTCAATGATAACCCAGCTATGTGTAAAGTAATTCTTCATATTTTTAATGCAGAATAATCATATTATTGATCATAGTTACTATCATCCCATCTACTTGCGTACATTAATAAATTGCTTCTATTTTTTGTGTTACTACTTTATTAGAAAAGTCACCTCTGGAGCTTAGCACATAAGGAGGTTAAAAAGCAGAGGGGCAGTGAGGTTAAGATTACTAAAATTTATTGACACAGTAAAATGGGCCACAGTTAGGAAGTGGAATTACATAGCTATAGCCCTGCTCTACCTATTACACAGCAGAAACTGTACAGTTAAAAGTCACGATGGCTGTCACAGAAACAGAAAACTTAGGAAGAGCTCTACCATATAAGCTGCAGCAATAGGGTCTCTTACTGGACTGCATAGGTAGCACATGTAAGGGATGTGTTTTCTTCTCGCTTTTATGTCAGACCAGCCATTCACAGACTTGCTTTACATTTTCAGGGATAAACAGACGTGTATATGGGAATTATTTGTCCCCAAACACCAATATGCTTACTGACACTCCAACTAAGATGGCCTCTAGGTTTGATTTTATCCTCTACAAGAAAGGAATATTGATTTATATACCAACTACCGCTAGAATTATTAGGTTTTCTGAAGCTAAAGAAAGTTATTTTCTGAGAGTCTTTTAATCTGTTCCTATCATAGCAGCCTACTAACAGGCTTTATGTATAATTAAGTTCTCTAAGCCTCAATATACCCATCTGTTAAATGGAGTAATTATCTCACTGGGATGTGATAAGGATTAAATTAAAAAATGCATGTAAAATTCTGCATGTAATGCCTACAGTATCATAAATACTCAAAATATGTTAGCATTTAATATTTATTATGTTAGACAACTTGTTTAATCTTGTTGCCTTCATGGGGACAAAATTTTAATCCTGTTTATTTTATGTATTTTACAAATTATATGTACAGTAAAATTAACTTTTGGTATACAATTTCATGTTTTTAAACACATGTATAGATTTCTAAAACTACCACCACAATAAGAATAAAAAATATTGCCATCATTTCTTACAACTCTCCTATTGTGTTCCTTTATAGTCACTCCTCTCCCCAACTTCTAAAGCTTAGCAACCACTGATTTGTTCTCCGTCACTATAGTTTTGCCTTTTGGGGACTGTTATATAAATGCAGTTATATGTTATGCAACCTTTTAAGCCTAGCTTCTTTCATTCAGTAGACTGCCTTTGAGATTCATCCAAGTTTTCTATTCATAATTTGTTATTTTTTATTAATGCTTTCTTTAAGTCTGAGGACATTTCAAGTATATGGTTATTTATTTCTTTTATAAGAATCTATCTGATAGGAATTCCTTAATAGAATCTTTGTATTAAGTAACACCTGAGACAGTTCAGTGCAGTACAACATTTAGTGTGGTACAGCATTACCAAGCAACTGTGTTCCTTTGACCACTAATGATATTCATGGAATAAAAGGGATCTGTAATCTAATAAATTTGAGAAATTACAAATTCTATAAAAGTAAATTGGATTGTTTACCTTATGATTTCTCAGAATTTTTAACATATGCCATGAAATGCAAAATTTCTAAACAGAGATGCAGTTTTGCAAGTGCTTATCAAATTATCAAATTTAATGTTTTAATGCTGAACAACTACGAAGTTGTATTCTACAGTTTGGGAAACATTAAACTAAAAATGAGAAACATGGGCTTTTGAAACTGGTTTTGAATCTTTGTCCTGGTACTCACTAGCTGCTTGACCCTGAACAAGTTTAATCTGCATTAATCTTAAATTCCTTATGTATAAATGGGACTAATAGTACTTTCCTCGTCAAGGTTGTTGTGAGGATTACACAAAATTTACTTTATATATACACACAGCACACTATATACCACATTGTAAGCATTCAGTAAATTGTAGCTATTTATTACTAGAGGCAATATATAGGAGCGTTTAGAAGCCATAGGCTTTGGAGTCTGATAGATCTCAATTTTCCTTAAATGTTGCTGCTTAGCTGTTATTTAACCTCATTAATAAAATGAGGACATAACTTATGAGGACTTAATGTTATAATTAAATATTTAGTACAGTTAACAATGAGTGGTTCCCTGAGCACTTTTCTGAGTAAATAACTTTTTATTCAATCACTCAGTAATTTAAAAAGAAATGCATATATATTAACAACTAACTTCAGACCCAGACTATTCTGATGCAGAGTTGTAATTAGAGCAGAAGAGGTTTTACTTCCTTTCAATATTGGAGAGGACCTATTTCTAATGTGTATGCAAAAAAGCGGGGGAGGCAAATTATTCCTTATTCTATGTTGAGATTAGTATTAGGGGATGAGAATAAATTCACCTGCTTTTACACAAGAAAAAAATAGATATTTATGGCCTTTATTAATATTTATGGTATACAGTTAAGCTTAATATTTATGAAAAGATACTACATTCTCTTAAGTTGTGGCCTTCTTTTGCAAAACAAAGCAATAAACAAAGGTAAAATCTTTCATAGTATTTCATAAATAACTATATTAGAAATGCTTTTTAAATGTGGATAAATCTTATAAATAATATAAATATATGTTTTATAGAAATAATAAACATGCTTTTTAGTAGCACCATTAGTAGGTGGGTCACTTACCGTATCAAATCACTGGTGCAAAACTATTACTCAAATCAACTGAGGTAAAATAAGTTAAAGTATTTTTACTTATTTTGCTTGTAACTCAAATATTTACATCAGAATATTAAGATAGAATAATAAATAGAAAATAGTACATGCATTTTACATATAGGTTTGGATAGAAACTTTGTTTAAAAGCCCCCCTTTTTGGTTATACAACCAGCAAAAGATTAGCAAATGTCCCATTGATAATGTTTGGTGCCACACACAGTACAAAATGGAAGAGAAAAGGAAATCTTACAGAGTGATTTCTAGGGAAAAGTAGATTGGTCAGCTTATCAAATAGGATGTAAGTGAATTATGTAGGTGAGCATTATATTCTCAAATAATTTGGTACAATAAAAGCTTCTAGTTCTTTTTTAAAAATTAGAAAAGAATATTTTCAAATTTGGTATTTAATTTTTCTTGAAAATACTTCCTGCTAACATACTTTTTCTTTTGTAGACATACACTAAAGATATATAAGTATTGATTTGAGAAATCAAATGAAAAATTTTGAAATGATTTCATAATTTTCAGATAGCTATAATGTTTTAGAGTCATCTTAACCCCACTCTACTATCTCATTGTATTTTATAAATCAACAGACAAAAATATTGTCTAAAGTTAGTTGAGTAACGTATATAGAGCTGATTGGCCACAAGTAAAATAGAAGAGGTAATTTATCTTTGATTAACTATTATTCTCTTACATATTAGCTTTCTCTACCTTTTTATTTTTACTCTCTTTTGACAGAAACTCCATTATCTAGAATTTTTATTTTACTCTCTGCCATTCTGGGCTTTCCACTGTCACATTTCATTTTATATTAAAATTTGTCTATTTTCTCTTGTAGAGATTTTAGGCTCCACAAGCCAGCTAGTTATCCTGATATTTTAACATGACTAATATTCCAGTGATAGTGATTTAGAGTTTGGGAACTAACTAATATATATGAAGATGTCTTTTGAGAGTCAGTGAGCACATCCATCTCCCTCTAAGCTCACTGCCTTTCCCCAAACCTACCCCAACATCTTTAGACTGATCCATTAGTAAATTTAATAGTGAGAATTTACATCTAGAAAGTGGGATATAGTAGAAGAGTAGGTTAGTGAATGAAAAATTTTGAGCCAGGCAAGTTTTTTACTGTCTGTCAAATTATATGGTATACAACAAACCTGTTCTTTATAAGTTCAGTCCTGTGACTTTGTGTCATATTAAAGGACTTCTGAGTCTCATTAATGTTTTTTTCTATGTAGCGAACCATTCATAATATTCTCTGGTGGGCTGTCCTATGACAAAGCTTGTAGAAGACCAAGTTTAACCATCATGCATGGAAAAGCAATTACAGTACTTGAAATGGATCATCCTATTGTTGAATTTCTAACTTTATGTGAAACACCTTATCCAAATGGTAAGTAACTAAAATGAAACTTAATATTGAAAAATTCATTTTTGAAATGATAAGTTTCTAACAAAACTAAGGTTAAATATTTTCAGTTTTGGCAGCGGATGTCTACTATGGTATAACACTGTGAGCTACAGGTGCTGGAGCAGGTTCTGCAACTGTACCTACTTGACAAACTGGAAATAAAACAGATGTAGTACAGCAATGCTGGAATTTCAGGTTCTAGTATCAGGTAAGTGCTTTAAACTTTGATTAGATGGTGGAAGCTGAGCTGGGAGGGTCCAGTAAGGGTCCGGGATGAAATCACTTGGGGAAGCTGAGGTCTCTTAATAGCCTCTCTCAGACCAGCTCCATCCATTCCATCCCAAAGCCAATCAAAGTTAAAGCACTTACCTTATATTAGTAATCTGTAACTGTGGTGGTGCTGCATCTGTTTCACATCTGGCTTTGCTTCAGATGCAACTGCAGCACCTCTGATTACTCTAGGATTACAAATGTGTGGTTAATGACTTTTTAAAATTTTGAGAATAGTCAGAAGAGCCTTTGGGAAGAGAAATGCATATATGATTTTATTATCCTGACTATAAAGACTTTTTCTAAACTTATATACAATCCGTATAATGAAATCTAATAATGATGAAATAGTTTCATAATGTGGCCAGGTGTGGTGGCTCATGCCTGTAATCCTAGCACTTTGAGAGGCCAAGGCAGGCAGATTGTTTGAGTCCAGGAGTTCGAGACCAGCCTGGACAACATAGAGTCCCTCTCTAAAAAATATAATAAGTAAATAAATAAAAATTTTAATGAAATCTAAAAAGTGAGAAATTTCTTCTCATAAAAAAGGAAATATGAGTTGTCTTACAACAACATAGTAAGTGTATATGTATTACTGTATTTTTAAGAGGGAATATATAGATCTAGGGGAAAGTGCACTGGATTTGGAGACAGAATATATGGGGTTATGATTTAGCTCTGCCACTTACTAGCTAGGTGACCTTGGGCAAGTAACTTTACATTATGAGTTTTATTTATGATTTGTAGAAAGAGAATCATAATATGGTCACCACATGACTACTAGAAGGTTAAGTGAGCATACTTCTTAAATTATAAAAATATATATGTTGTGAGTTCTATTATTAAATGTATTAAATTTAAATTAATCTCATATAAAATATGGGATAAACTGATATTAAATCATAATCAATGTAGCACTTTATTTCCAAAGTAACTAGAGACAGACAATTTATTTATGTTTTTAATTGTCAAATATTTATTGAATCATTCTATGGCCTCAGTACTACAAGAACTTGGGCATACAGATAAAGTATAAAACTAATCTCTGATGTCAAATTGCATAAAATCTGGTCAGATGGGTGAGATTACTATGATTTGTTAAGTTTAAGTAATGTAATACCTTAATTAAGTGCTGAGTTGTATGGTTCAGACTATAAATAATGTATTAATTTATAAGCTAGTTAAATAGTCATGGTTTCATGCATAGTAATAGCAGTTTTTGGAAAGAGAGGAAAGTAAGTCTGATTGTGAGACAGTAGAGTTGTTTAGAGAACAGAAAAAGAGAAATTGTCTTACAATATTTATGAATCATCAAAATTTAAGTGTTCTTTGGAGTTATAAAAATGAATGATGAAGGAATAAATGAAGAAAGAACAGAAGACCAACAGCTGAGCTTAGGAAAATGCCTCCTCTGAAGAGCCTTGAGGAAGATGTGTGAGCAATAGAAATTGAGAATGTGTGGTCTGTGTGTATATAGATTTCTGCACATTGGTAGAGATGTTAGGATAATTTCTAATAATGTTCAATAAAGCATAAATGCAATGTAACTATTCCCATTCACTTTCAAGCCATATATATAAATCTTTGTTTTTCAGAAAGTGGTAATGAGGATGGAATTTTTTATTTGTTGAAAGCTAGGAGATGTACTTTAACTCTATTCACAGTGCAGAAAAGGTTTCTGAACATATGTCCATCTCAAGCAGAACTTAGTCCAAACCAGGGCCCCAGAAACCTTCCTAATCTAGCTCCTTCATTAGAGTTAACCTCTCCAAGTAAATCACGTTCTTGAGTGCATCCCCAACTGTAATCTATGGGGTTATCATTGGTGCTGGATTGTGCCCTAGGACTCTCAGGGCACAGATGATAGCTCTTGGAGAGCAGGGTGAGTAGTGCTGGTGAGGCCAACTCAAGAGATGAGAATTAAGGTAAAGCCATTTCTGTGGCCAGATCTTCTGGTGAGGATAACTAATATTTCCCCCTTTTTGGGAGAAGGAAATATGGACCTGGCAGATTTGTACAAAAACCTTTCCCAGGAGGTTTACAGGGGCCAATGGGACAAGCAGAAATAAATGCCATTGAGGAGTCCTACTTGGAAGGAGATCAGTAAAGATTAGAGGCTACCACGAATGTGTTGGCTGCCCTGACTATGAGGATGAATTTAGAACTCTATGAAGGAACATTGAAAGCATGCCAGGGTTAAGGAGGACTAAAGATAGGGCCTTGGGCTATTGCAGGTTAAATGCCACACCACAAATCTTTGCCAGTTGGGCTTTTCTTATTCCCTTGCTCTATTTCACCAGTCCAGAGGACTAGAGGTGGTAAGCACAATGGAAATGTTGATAAATAGGCCAAATTACACAAATGTTTTCAGTAATTTTCCCTGTACAATGAGTTCCTCCGGCATTATGAAGCTCTTGAGAGACTTCTCAGGTTGGTATAAGTGTTCCAACAGGGCCTTAACTACTGCCATGGCTGTGGCCTGTTGACAATAGAAGGCTTCAACGCAGTGCTGAAACATGTAGACTAAGTGGTACATGCCAGTGTCTTTGAGAGACGGGGAGCTGAGTAAAATAATATTGTTGCCATAACTCAAAGAGACTTTCTGGTAATGTGAAGTAGTCCATGAAGGCATGAAATGGTTTTCCAATATGGTGTTATGGATATATTTCACACAGATATGAAGGTTGTGAACTATCTCAAGGCATGCTTGCCATCTGTATAAATATTGGCCATTTTACCTTTGGCTGAAAGACATGTCTAGTAAGAGCATGCAGTCCGGAAGACCTGACATCAGGAAAGATAAGGAAAGTGGCAGAATTAAGCAAGTTATATTGGATCGTGGTAAGGGGAGGTGAGGATAGAAAGAGAACTGCATAGTTTTCTAGGCCTCTTGTGATGTGAATTGAGGAAAGCCCCAACAGAGTGTGGAATGCAGACAGTGAGGGGGTCCCCATTACTATTTTCATTGTGGCTTTTACAAAAGAAGTGGCTGCATGAACTTCTTTGAGACAAGGAGACTATAGTATCCTATGGGTCCAGTTTGTGTCCAATTCTGATATTTTAATTCACCTAGTTGGTTAGATTTTAAAGGGGAAATCCCCTGAATGTTCCCAGAGCATCCCTAGTCTGGATGGGATGGCAGGGGAGCGACCTAGGTGACTCCATTAGGATTTAGTTATAACCAAATATTGGAGGGTCTTAGGAGAATTCAGAATCTAATCCAGTCCACAGCTAAATGACAAGGAATTGTGGACAGTGCACAGGATTATAATGTAATAATTGATACACTTTTGCTTTTCTTACAAGCATAACTTTTCCTGTCCACATTGATCAAATAAGAAATCATAAATATTAGAACTTCTTGAAGCTAGATGGCCCGACCAAGTCAGGTGTTAGATTTTACTTACAGTCTTAAGGTTCTTGGGCCTACCAGGAAGTGACAGTTTTTACTTACTAACTGTAAAGCTGGGAACTCTTGAAGACAGGCATTTTACGTACATTCTTACATATAACATTTCAGTCTATATCTTGGTACTATAACCAATGTTTTTAATTGCATCCTGCTTTCAAGAGAGAGAAGATTTTTATTTAACTTATATAAATAAAAATAAGAATACTCATGTATAGCTTCTGAATTTTAGAGGAATCAAGTAGGGAGAAAAAGCAAATGTTTCCACCTTTGTTTAATAAATGATACTTTAACAAAATGTTGCAAACTATAGATAGCCTATGACAGGAAATCTCCCTGAATTTGGAAAACAAAATATTTAAGCCACAAAAACATTATCTTTATCAATTACTTAATTTCATTTAAATAATTTTGTTTGGCTGGCCGAGTGTAGTGGCTTATACCTGTAATACCAGCACTTTGGAAAGCTGAGTGTATAGCTTGAGCTCAGGATTTCAAGACTCGCCTGCACAACATAGCGAGACCTATCTCTACTAAAAATAAAAATATTAGCTGGTTGTAGTGGTACATACCTGTAGTCCTAGCTACTCCATAGGCTCATATAGGAGGATCAAGCTTGAGCCCAGGAGATGGAAGCTTCAGCGAGCTACGACTGCACCGCTGTACTCCAGCCTGGGCAACAGATTAATATGCTGTTTCAAAAAAATTTTTTTTCTTTATTTTGATTGCAATTTTAAGCTCTAGCCCATTGCAAATACCTCCAGAGAAGAATTTAAGATAACAACTAGATGAAAAAAAAACCCAAAAAATTATAGCCAAAGATCTGATGAGAATTTTCAATTGACAAGGCAATTTAGACATTTTATTGGCATACAGTCATTTAACATAATAATCACTACTATGACACATATCTTGGCATATCAGAATTTTAGGAATCTTATAAAATATCACACATTTTAATAACACATATATAACTTAAGGGAAATTAAACACCATTCCCTATTTGACAGTACTTTCTGTATTATTTATCAAATAAGCCTAATCATTTAATATCTGTACAAGATGAGAGAGAAACCGTTTGAAGCTCTTCAGGGGGTCGACATGGAAAATTGTAAAATTAATTATAGGCCAAAACGCTTAAATAAAGATTTGGATCCTGGAGAAACCTGCCAAAGATGTCAAAAAGTTCAAAAACTACTTTCTTGACTAGAATGATAGTTCACTGCTAAATAAATACTTAATCAACCAAAGTAAGAGTAACAATCAGAAGACTTCAAAAACAATACAGAAAGTTACATGGATG